GGGTTGAAGGAAACTACATTAACTAGATTATATGATTTTGTACATGTTTTATTAAGAGAAGTGATCTCGATCTCAACGGGTTTCACCTGATTTCATCGCGTTCACGCCGGAGCTCCTCGATCTCAACGCGTAGGGATTTTTAAAAATTGAAGCATAATATTCGAATACACTTGCTGGGAATTGGTATAGAAATCAATAAAGTGTTTCATAATGTAATCCTTAAAAATATTACTTGAAGTCAACATTGGTCAATTTAATTTAGAATTTTATACACAGTTACTATACTACAAAAAGTAAGTAAGGGACCCCCCCCCAAAAAAAAACAACAAAAAAAACCATTAAAAAAATTTAATTAAATTTAAAAAATTAATTAAAAATTGCATATTCGACTGAGCAATTTAGGTACACCACAGAGAAAACCTGTTTGTCGTGTTTACTCCTCGAACACTTTGATTACACGGACCGTGCTCACAATGAGTTGGGCAAGTAGATCTACCTGCTAAACATCTCGACGTCCAATCACAGCAAGCAAGGGGACAGCACTCAGGAAAACATACCTGCTAATAACATGGAAGTGGCATCTCTGGCTCAGAGGTTGACATAATGTATAAGCCTAATGAACCGACATTGTATAATAAGGTCGTTAGCTGCTCTCGTGCATTTTGTCATACTTAGCGCAGTCTATACTTTGGTGTTGTCGGTAGTCTACACATTGCACATTGTCCACCCTCAGCTCTTGTCCCACAAATCTTGCCTTCTAGTACTTCCTTCACTATAGTCTGGTGGCTGTCACTATAGCATCGTATTTTACTTGTATTTTGTTTAACTCTGAGGTCAGCGCGTTCTAGTTGTACGACAGCACCTAGCTACCCTAGAATTACAAGTTCTATCCGCTCGGATGAGTACCTAGGCTGGTTTTGAGACGTTTGACGCCAAAGATTTTGAGTTCCACAACATGTCAAGCTTTTTCGAATCCAATTCTTTGTTTAAATCTTGATAAAGACTCCGAATAATCTGAGAATTTTGATAGAGCAGACAGAGCATTAGGTTTCTGACCTCATGGTCTTAGTAATTCAAAACGGCAAAACGGCCAAACGGCCAAAGATGTCTGATAGAACTTTGTAATTCTAAGGTACATGTAGCTACTTGAAGATGCACTGTGTTGGTGCAGTCTTTGTTTCCATCCTCTCAAACTTTTCTTTTTTTTTTCTTTATAATCGGAAAATTTACAAGACATGCACCAACATATGAAATATATGCAAATGCGTTTTTTGATAAAATTTGTGTATGATGGTTTGGAATGTGCCGAAACATTGCATTTGCTCTGCTGCTGACCAGATTCAATAGTGGTCGTTCGTTACGGAAAGTCCTCCCCATCTCAATCAATATTTGTCCCTTTTGCTTTCTAGCTATTTCTCAAGCCGTTCCACGGTAACAATTGCACCATATTATTATCTCAAACGTAATTTTTTTTTCTTTGTTAATGAGGTTTTATAACGCCATCAGAATCTAGAGGAAGATGAAGCACTCCACCAATTTCTTCCTTATTAAAGGTAGAGACAATAGCTTTAACATAACTAGTTTGCGCAATTGGCTGAATCTTGGGTTGTTTTTTTTTCCTTTTCTGATCTTTTATTTATTTCTTTTTCACTTCTGCCGATCACCTTTGACTACTGCTCCTTGATACTTAAGTCGATGAAGGCTATTTTAAAAAATAACTCCCCATCTATGATTACAAACAAAGACAAGGTCATCAATAATTAACGAGAATAGGGACGCTACATGATCATTATCTAATCTGTCTGAAATCAATACAAATATAGAAGAGACAGTCGAGTAGACGTTTTCTGCCTCAAAAGACTGAAATAGGTCACCAAGAACGCATGTTGCTAAGACAAAGATTTTGTCAGCAATAACCACACCCCCCCCCCCTCCAAAAACCCAAAACAAATCAATAACAACAAAAAAGCAACATCAAAGCAACAACAACTACAAAAACAGCAGCAGCAGCAACAACAACAACAACTACTACTACAACAAAAGCAACAACATAAAAACAAAACAAAACAAAATGAATTAAAATAATAAATGAAACAATAACACAAGAACCTCTTACTTTGCTTCTTCATGATGAAAACAAATTATAGCCATCTACACCACAGTCAGTCTCTTGAAGTTCCTCTCGCAGTCTTTCCTCTAGCTGGAAATGGGCTTGTGGTAAGCAGCCTGGAACCCCCTGACGGCTGTGCCATGTCTCATATAACAAGTGTGTCCACCACCCTTCAGTTTGAACAGTCTCTCACAAAGCTAACAATCTGCGCAAACAGTGCTGCCCGGTGACAAGGCCCACGGAATAGCCCCTGAACACATAACACCCGGCGTTACAGTAGGAAGTAGGAAGGCATATTTTGCAGTCTCGATTTCATTCTCGACAGGGCCGCTAATATGCTCTGGGACCCACCGACGCCCCCCCCCAGAAAAATAAATAAAATGAAATAAAATAAAACAATCAGAAAAAACAACAACAAACCAACCAAACAAAAACAGAAACAAAAACGACAGCAACCAAAAAAAACCACACAAAAAACAACAACAATAATATTTAATTTAAAAAGCAACAACAAAACAAAACAAAAACAAATAAACAAATAGAACCAAAAAAACAAACCCCAACCCAACAACAACAATAAGCATCAAACAAACGCAAAAGAAAACAAATAAACCAAAAGAAAACAAAACAACGGAAAAAACAACCCCAAAACAAAACAACAGAAACAGTCTAGACTATTTCAAAACTTTTCGGTCAGAATCCCACACCCCGAATTTTCGCGACACAGGCGCCCGAAAACAAACACCCTCACACACACACAGACACACACACACGCGCGCACACGCACAAACAACTCTTACACAGACACTCACACACACAAACACACATACACACATACACAC